GACTATGTAATATGTGCGCAAGGGTAGGCCATGATGAAGACTGTAAGAGCTCAAAGACTAACTACAGTTACACATCCTCTGCATTTGAACATGCATCCATTCTAGATGACAGATCTGCTTGTGTGGTTAAAACACGTTCTCCTAAGTTTTTTGCTACATTGCAGAAAAACTGAAGGGCACTTATTTTCTTATTTTTCTTGGCCTATTGCAAGGTAGCACGATGGAATATCATAGTAGTTGGTCATTTTGCTTCAATAGCCTGTTCAAGGAACTTCCCTGGAATTTCCACTGTAGGTTCTACAACATGTATTAATCAGAGAAAACAGCAAAATGGCTTGTGGAAGATTAATATCTTGGATTTATAGCTGTAAGGGAACATCAGATCTCTCGTACAACACATTCTGCTTAATGACCAAATTGTACACAAACATCTTTGGTTAGTCTCCTGGTTTAAAACCAAAAAATGTGGCTACTGACTGTAAGCCCCAGTCCTATGAAGTTTCTGTGGGATACCCTAAATTTTTTGTAACTGCAGGCATTTTGGCTTTTACAAATGTAAAAAACAGGGAACAGAAATGAATTCAAGGTGTAACTCAAACAAGATCAACTTGTATTTGTTAAATTATCATATTACAATGAGATATTGAAAGGTAGCACAATAGTTCTTCACATGGCTATAGCTGTCTATAAATTCGATATCTCCAAATGAGTTCCAAGTATTTTGGAGGATCGGGCCCATAATCTCTATTAGAATATTCTTTCTATTTGAGAGGAATCTTTTTTGGGACTCTTCATTAAACAGAGCTAAAATTGTAGTCTCAACTTTCTTACTTCATTACAGAGAATGAGAAGACCCAGCTAACAGTTTGCACTCTGAAAGGCAGATGCACATATATAAAGGGGTATTTAACTTAGGGGCAATTTAATTTCCCTATGGAAGTAGAGTTTGTAAAGACAGTTTCCAAGAGATATTATGGGTGCTTTTGTTGTTGCCAAATTCTGAACTTTTTTTCAGTATATTAGAATTTTTAGCATGGGTTTACAGTATCCTAACAAAGGTAATAAATGAAAATGGAATAAGATGTTTCAAAAATATATAGAATATTTGAAATTTTTCAACATGTTAACTAGTTTTCATTTGCCAAACCCAGGCTTGTTGGCTAAATCCTGTTCTTATTCTCTGTTACAGTCTTCTAGTTTTATAGTATTTCTGGAAACTATTTTTCCTTGTATTGCTTTTCTTAATTATACAAATCATTCCTCTTCTTTTTCCCTCCCAAATAAGCTGAAGTCTATATACCACTAGTTTTTCATTTTAAAATGTTACTTAACACTAGCAACAAGGACCATGATGTATATTTAAAAAAAAAAAGATTTTTAAGAAGAATCTTGTTTCCACATTGTAGAAGCCCATAAAAAGCTGCCAGATCTAGAAGAAGGAATGGATAACTGAGAATTTTGCATATGTTCTTATATCCACATGCTGTCCTCATTGTGTGCAATCCTATATGATTTTAAGTTATTAATTTCTTTCATTTTCATTAGTTTCTTTCTTGAAGTGCTGAAACTATTGATCACATTTTAAGTGAATCTAGTCAGTCCAACTGTTAAGAGTGATAGAATTTTGGTGCTGGGTCACATGATTACATTTTGAGGTCTTCAACTAAAGTAGCATTATCCCAAAGATTAATACATTTTTAAATCACAAAGACTTATTTGAGCTTCTGAAATGCAAGTAAAAGGTGATAATGCAATCTTCACTTTTTTTTTCAACGTCACTGATTACTACACCCACTACTTTTACAAACTGTGGGCCCTGATTGGCAATGACTTGTGCACATGCTCAACACTGTGCGGCGATGTGGTTATGACTTCATGAGTAAGTGGCAGTTGATGTATGAAGGAATCCAAATCATAGCTCTGTCAGTTTATTGAGGCTTCCTCCAGTGTGTTCTCTTGCCCTCATTATTATCCTATAACAGGCCCAAACTTCTCCTGTCAGTAAAGATTTGGTTGGAGGCATTCAGTAGCTCTAAGAAGCATTCCTGTGGTACCCAAGTGAGTGCCCAATTTATATGTTGTGTACACGCAGATATGAGATTTGAATACAGCAGCAACTGTGTCTAACAGAAAAGCCGGTAGAGGATTTGTTTCTGCTTTAGTTAAATAAGAAAAGGCAGCCATGATACCTTGCAAGAGTGGGAGAATAACAACAACTCATTCCACTGTGGGGCATGGTACTCAAATTTTCTGCGCCATAATTCTCTGACAAGGATCAGGATAACCAGCTGCTTGAGTGCTGGATTGGGGGTTAAGTAAATAAAACCTTGCTTCTCAAGCTCAGTGATCAACTCCTCCACGTACTGGTTGGGAATGGACCATGGCTTGGGCAAGCCTTTATTCTTGGCAGTTGAATGAACTGTGCTTGGAAGCGAAGACTAATCAGTCAGTGCCTTCTAAGCACTAATGGGACCTTACAGAGGTTTTGTATGTTTGCATGGATTTCAAAGATCCCACCGCATTTTAGTAAAAGAATTAGGAGTTTGCCCCAGTACCCTGGGCTAAAATGACACCTAAGGCCACACCACATCCTGACACATCACACTCTCTATGTCCTTGTGCAGATTTCTATACCCTTGTTGTCGACTTGACAGCTGGCCTTCAGCAGTGGGTGAACATCAGTGGTGCTACTTCTATGTAGTTCATGAACTGCTTTAGGACCTTTCAGAATGGGAAGAGCTAATACATGTTTTATTAAAAATTAAGCTTCTTCTAACACAAATTATTTCCATCACTTTTATGGTTTCCTGTGTTTAATTTTTGAGAAGCCTAATTTTTCATGCCTCTGTAGTAATAAAAGAATGAAGGCACACACAAAAATCAACCTTATGAGCTGCATCTTAAAAAAAGAAAAGTGAATGTGGTGTGAAGGTGTGGGTTGATGAAAATTCCATGCTCATAAGTTATGTCAAACATCATGATTGCAAGGTGAACCAAAATCCTGCAGACTATTATTATTTATAGTCTATTACTACCTAGAGGGCCCAATCTGATTGGGCCTGTTGTGTTAGGTTTTACTTCCTAAAACTCCCATTGACATTAGCTGAAACTTTTGTGTTAATAAAAAAGGTTAAGAGGGGTGTCTCAATAAAGGCATGTGTGTGTCATGGAAAAGTGGTGACCATTCATAGTGGGGAGTATATTTATAATGCAAGTCAATCACCACCACAAATGCTACTTAGACTTACTGTGGTATTTCCCATTTGAAAACCCAAGTTATGTCTTCATACCACTGGAGTTGTACTGGGGTGCATGGTCAGATGTGTAGCAGCCAACCTGTAGTGATTGGAAACATATCTGCATGTGGTAAAGGCAGGCATAATGCCTCTGGAGGTACTGGAGTAGGCTGTTGTGCCCTTAAGGCATAGCACCTCCACGTCCTCCTAGGTGTGCGGCAGTAGTTTCCTAGCCCGGTCCCCTGCCTTTTAGGTCCTTGCACCTTTGGGGTGTGCAGTATAGCTCATCTCCAGTGCTCAGGAAATGGTGCATGCTGAACCTTAAGGGGCTCCATGAATCTTCCACACTCCCTGCACAGCAGTGCAAAAGGAATCGTGGTCTTGTATGAAGTCATAAAGCATATGGCAGTAAAGTAAACCAATGTGCAAGATTGATGTTGACTAGACTTTTTTTTTTTAAAATGATACCCATAAGTATATACTAGAGCTGGTCGGAAACACGTAGTCAAAACATTTTTTCATTGGAATTGTTTTCCAGACCATCAAAATCAAAAAGTTCTGCAGGACCTTGTTGATTTCAATGACATTTCAATAAAAACTAGGTTTCAAAACCTGTCTGGGTTCTTGCCAGATCATCCACTCAGTTCCTTGGCAGCCCACCTAGCGAGTGACAGGGGACCAGGAGCTTGGAAGCCCTGGGAGTCCTGGTTCCCAGGATCCCAGCTTCTTGCCTGCTCAGGTGTCCAGTCTCCCTGACTCTGGGACAGCCTGCCAGATGGGTTGCTTCGAAGTCGGGGCTTCCAGGGTCCCTCACTCTAGGGCAGTCTGCCTGGAAGGCTGAGGCTTCCAGTAGAGCTCGGTGGAGAGAGGTGAATGCATTTCACAGAGAATTTAGAATGAAACCAGATTTTGAAATCCTCCTTGGAATGAAAGTGCCATTCTTCACCAAGCTCTTGGGTTGATATCTTTGTTGGTATCTTTTGTTAATTCATTCATGCTGTATATTAACATCACTCTGAATCTTGGGTACCAAGCATCTGACCTGGGTTGGCAAATATTTTCATAAGATGTATATTTCCATCACACTGAAAATATACTCAGTGTTCTTTTGGTGCTTTACTGCCAATTATGAAACGTCTGCACACTTTTAAGTCTATGAAAAACACATTATTATTTTTATTCAAGAAGTTAGTTTTAAAGAAAATGCTTTTCCAGAAATTTTTGACATCCTCATTATGCAGTAATTTTATGATCCTAGCGGAGTAATATTTAGTTATAAAGCACAGTTAAGGGGGTTTGGGATTATGCTGTTTGTCCAAAACAAAGGTAGTTCCTCCCTCTTTCCCCTCCCTTTTTTCCACCTGCTTGCAGAAAGCTATATTTCTTCAGACAAGGCTCATAAGTACCCTTCTGTGCTTGATTTGGGCCTCCAGGAAAGGCTCACAGCATCTGTAAAGCTGGCAGCAAAATGGTATTTCCAGGCAGACACAGTGTTGCAGGGTAGAGAGCCAATCCATGGCTTTGTCTGAGCAGCTGAGAACTTCATCCGAGTAATACCACGGTGTACAGTAACACAGACCTGTGCCATGAGCAAGTAAAGCATTGAGCAAGTGTTGGGGCCAATATTTATAGACCACTACGTAGCAGCCCTGGAGAGAGGGGGAGAGAGAGAGAGAGAGAGAGAGAAATCACTGGCTGAACTGAAGGCAATTTTATTTCAGATTTTTGCCTTTAAACAAAGTTTGGGTTTTTTTTCACTGTCAGGTTTAATCTCCTCTTGGCAAGTCCTAATAGTCTTGCTCCAAGCTCTGACTGGGAGGAAACAGAATTAAAACAAGAAGCTTGAAGGTAAATAATTAGCTAATTCGGTATCACATTTACTTTGTGTCCTTGCCTGTGTGCTGCCCTTTGAGGGCACTGCATCAATAAGCAAGACCTAGGATACGTGTTCTGGCTAATAAGTAGTACTGCTGTTTTTAAGGATGTTTTTGGGAGTATGGTTATTTTGTGTATAGTTACTGGGGAATGTCATGTTGATTCTTATTTAGTAATGTGCTTGAAAAGGGCAATTGGTGTTGGTGTGGGAACACTCACCTCACAGCAGAAAGTCATAACTTGGGAATGAGAACACTATTTATTAGTAATTTATTAATTGCTGTTTTTAAAGCATCTATTGCTTGCAGTATCTGGATGCTTGCATTTGCACCATAAGCTGTCTTATGTCATCCTGTGTGTGCTGTATTCTTTTTAATAGCAGAAAGCTAAATAAAAATGTTGGGTAAGCTCTACTGAGTGAACTGCTATCTAAGTTGACAGTCAGAGTCACTGCTGTGATGGCTATGCAGGAGGAGTAGGATAGTAGGTAATAGCAATGCTCAAACATTTCATGTAAAACAATATATTTGATTAGAAGGAGAGAGAGAAACTCTCCCTGGTGCTTGGATGATTCTTACAAGGTGATATAGAAAACACACTTTATAGAATGTTCTCTGATAATAGAAAGGAAATGAGTTTTTATAACAAACTGTTATAACCAAGGTGGAAGAAAGATTCTCCCCCTTCTCCCTCCACACAGGTAGTTACAAACAGCATTTGAAAAATGAGTCTCTTTCCATTACATGCCATAACTTTTCAGCAACCTCCACCAAACATATGGGCTGCTGAGTTCATTAGTCTTCTTTGTTTGCATATTCCAGGGTGTAATTTTAAAAGCTGGGTTACCTAAAAAGGGGATAATTCTTCTAAACCTCTTTCTTGGCACAGGTAAAATCTGTGCATTTAGACATTTATGTTTACCATTCATAGTTCAGTGAAGATTAATTTGTTTCATAAAGAACACAGCATTTTCCTGAATGAAATTTATCAGTTGACAGCCCTGAAATTATTTCTTTAAGTTAAGAAAATATGGGCTTTGGCACTGGTTTAAGATTTTGGAGGACTGTTTGGGAGAGTAACTTGCAACTCTAGAGGGTTTTTAGACAAATACGCTGTGAATATATGTTAAAAACAAAAATGTATTAAAATAATTTTAAGGTTGAGGCACAAACTAACAAATACAAGGAACTGCAGGGTAAAGGCTCACAGTATAGCCTTAACATGACCTGTTAACACTCTGCAACACATAGGGTATGTAACACCATCTACCATCCACTGTGTTGAGACTCCTAAGGACAACAAAGTGAGTTAAAGATCAAGTGTAGCAGCCATGAGGCTGTATTTGGTTTGTTTGGACCATTTGGATATTTAGCCTCTAACGTTGCTTTATTTTTTTATTGTGATGTAAAACTAACTTGGTTTGAGGAGATGTGATGGGTTCCCGGGGTACAACCTGGAACTGGGGTACCGTTGTGCCCCCTTAACTTTCCAGACTGGGCTGTCTCTCACAATGCTTTGCTAGTGACAAGCAGCAAACCCCTCCAGATGCTGTTGTCATTTAGTACAACAGCATGTGGAATCACACACTCAGCTAAATTGCATCAGTGCTCCCTGAGCCACGCATGAATCACACAGAGAAAGGCACCCGCAAATCTCCCAAGTCCCCAGCATTGCACCCCCGAATAAACCATCTTGCCCTGGTCAGAAGCCTGACCAGTGTACGTTTATTACCCAGTCCACCCCTCCCTCTATGTGGAGAGGACACACACTAGCCTTTGTCAACTGAGCTGAAATATTTCCCAAGCACTTCAACCAAAACACACTGTTTTCGGTAAAATATAAAATAGATTTATTAACTACTCAAAGATAGATTTTAAGTGATTATAAGTGGGAGGCACAAAAGGTCAGAGATAGTTACCAAAGAAAATAAAAGGTAAGCACACAGTCTAAATCTTAAACCTTATTAGACTAGGCACTATTTAGATCAAGCAGTTTTTTTAATCCCACTGGATGTTGCAGGTAGGTTACAGTTACTAGTACACAGGCTTCCCCGTTAAGCCTGGGACCAGTCTCCTCAGTTCAAGTCTTTTTTCTCCCAGTGTTCTTGTTGCTTCCAGCGTAGGTCGGGGAGGAGACAGGTAGCTGCATGATGCCACTGTCCCTTGTTTTATACCCTCAGTCCATGTGCCTGGAAAATGGAAAATATTAGCCCAGATATGTCCTGGTGGGCTTTGCTGAGACACAGAGTTGAGCAGTGCCCCGTTGTGTGATGCTTGCGCAACTCTCTTACAGAATTACAAATCCCTTGTTTACAACTCCCCTGCTGATTAACGGTCATGATGATCTTTCAATGCCCACCCGTGTCAGTCACCTCCTTTGTTGTCACTGGAGAACTAACAGTGAACGACTCCCAACCTTACAACATATTTCAATAACAACTACCTGTATATAGCAAAATCTCATAACTTCATACATGCTAACACTATACATATTTTGACAGAACAGTGGGTTTCAACAGATCATCACCTTTCGTATGATGTCTTACATGGCATGCTTTATATGAAATATCACAACCATTTATGAATGATGGATATGGGGGCTACAGGGGGCTACTTTGAGGTACAGGGTGTCACAGGGGAGGGGAATTAGAAAGGAAAAATAATTAAAATCTCACTGATATTTTCAGTTAGCTATGAACCCCAATGATTTTCAAGAACTCCAGATGAAGGATGGGGACTTGCAGAGAAAAGATGCATAGTTAATAATCATGCTTTTATGTATACAAGATGTGCCCCTGCCCAAACATTCTGTATGTGCTGGAACACTGCTTGACATCACAGATACTAGAAATATTGGGAGGTTGTATTGGAAAATCCAGCAAAGAAGAAGGGAATATACTTATGGTACAAAGACAATTAACAGTAACAGAACTGATCTGTAGGTAGGCAGAAATAAACACCTCTCGGTATGGAAGTTATAGCAGAAGATGGGCATTACAAATAAATGTGTAAAAATCTGCTGGGTCGCTGCTGGGCTTAATAAAACACAGGGTGTTGCATCAGTTTTTGAGGTTTATAAAAATACAACCAGCACAATTTCACCTCATAAAAATATATTTATGTATTTAACCACTTCAAGGTGATGTGGATGTCCCCTCTGTTCCTAGCAACATAGCTGAGAGGCAGCTGACGGGGGGTGAGAAAGGATGTAGCTGTTGTGAGAGTCTGAACTCTGCTATACGTGGGCACAACATGCCAGTGGACTGGACTCAGCAGCCTCAGAATTTCACAAGTCGTGAATGAGTAGGTTCCCATATTTCCGTAGATCTAGCAACACCAACCTCTGAAAATAGATTTGTTCTTGTGGTGTTGCACAAAGCCTGATTTTGCTTGCCTTATGCACTTAAGTGGCTTATGAGGTGTGTTTTGGGCAAGCAAACACAGCAGACTTGTGTCAAAAACTGCTATATCCCATTCCTAAAACACTCTCGTTTGAATTTTATTATTAATTATTATTTGTATGATCGTAGTGCCTATGAGCCCCAGCATGAACCAGGACTCCATAGTAGAAGGTGCTGTACAAACAAAGAGCTTACAGTCCAAGTATAAGACAAGAGACAACAGTTGGGTACAGACAGATGGGGCAGTACCAGGAAACAGTGAGACAACCTTGGTCAGTATATTGGGCAGTGGTATCAGCACACTAGAAGTTTAACTGTTCTCAAGTTTGATTTATTTTACACCTTGTGTTCATGTCGATCTCGGTATAACCAAGTATAAAATTATGTATGATATGTAAACCTTTATAGGTAGCTTTTTTATTGTAATTCCCCCTCCTAAGTTTCATAAGCCTATATATAGATGCTTTAACTTCAGGGGGAGGAACCAAGTTAGCCTCTTGGTCAATGGTTTCACTGGAATATTGCTGTCATGAGGTGGAGGGAGAGACTCTCTTTCAGATAGGCAGGACCAATCAAGTAAAGCCCATTTTGTCTGTATGCAGACACCTAAGTCTGACTTTCTTTCTGGGGTTAGGGTAGGGAGAGTCACAAAGTTCATGCTGACTGACTGTAGGAATGATGATGTGATGAGATAAAACGGATTAGTTCTTGCCTGCCTGCCTGCTGTCTATACACCTGGGAGGACTCTTGAAGGGGCTGCTTCCTGAAACAGATGTAAGGGAAGGGGCCAATCAGAATTAAAATGTTCCTCCCACGACTTCACCAAATCGATTGCAATCGGAGTAATGAGAAGGGAAAGGAGTCTGTTTTTTGTAATGGTGGGCCCTGCACCAGTCTCTAGGAATCAGGGGAGAAGTGGGACCGAGTAAAACCGCTCCAAAACAAAATCCTCAACTTCTTTATTAGCTTTAAGAAAAAAGACCACCAGGTTCTTGTCCTGTCTCCCATGCTAGTGCTGTGTACGAGATTACTCCAGTGCTAGAGCTGTCATCTCCCCAAAATCATAAGATTAGACTTAAAAATCTTGCTATTTTAAAAAATAATTAATCTGTTCCTTCTATTTGTGTTTTGGTTTTTTGAGCCTTTCAAGTTCATATTTTTAGACTTTCCTCAGCAAACACGAGGATTAGAAACTTCTGTTTTTAATGAAAACATGACTCCAGGAGCTGAGAGTTTGTGAAAAAACACCAAATATTATGAGACATGCAATAGAATTGTGAGAGTTGGCAGCACGGGGAGTTGCCATGCTTCTTTACAGCTCTATAATGCTTGGGCTTGGATCTGGATTCTCTTTGTTTCCTCTTGAATGTCAGGCCAGCCTGGTCTCTGGCTTGGTCATGTGAGAGCTCAAGCAACCCATGTACCTTTAAATCATTTGTTGTGTAGGCCAGGATTGTGTAAAATATAGGTGTTTTGTTCTATAAATTTGTTTCACTTACCTTCATGTTCCATTTGTGCAGTCTACTATCATTCCATCTAACTAGCGGATCGGGAAGGAAAGGCAGCTCCATCG